CTGTTGTGAATTGAGTTGGATTGGATACAATATCTTGATTACCAATTAGTCCTTTTGTATTGGTGTAAGGAGTACGACCACGTCGCGTTGGAACTTCTAGTCGTCTAGCACAAGCATTGATATTAATGAAAGGGAAGAAAGGAAAGTAGTCAATCACTCAATACCTTGATGGATTTGAATAGTCGAACGCCTTTGTATCTTGCCGGTGATTCTTATCTGCTGAAAGTCTCTGCTCTTCTACCTTTGCACTGGTATCATATTCAATCTGTCGATTAAATGCTTCAGCACCTTTAAAGATATCACAAAAAGCATCCAAGCTAACTTTCCCACTGCCGTCAGCATCAACGCCTTTTGCTATTTGAAGAAACTCATGTTTGCTCAACTCAAAACCCAAATCTTGCAGCTAGAAACAGAAACGAGTGTTTTGAATAACAACGATATCACTTTTTTGATACATATACACAAACCCCATGGTAAAGCTCATTGTAATGTAGAGTTTCGTCTTGGTTTTCGTCAGATAAGTTTGGTCTTGCAGCTAATGTCTTCAGTTTGCATCGAAGTGCAGCCTTTAACTTCGTGTTCTTGAATGTAAACAGACACTACTGTCAAATTGCTTATCCTATAACCGGGAGATTTTGTACTTACATCAATTCTATGACTTGTCTGCTTCAACACTGAGCGTCGAATAAAATCTAACGGATCCCCTTCATGCATCAATCGGCTAAGATGTTTCTTTCGACGTTGCTCTGCTAAGCAACTATGACGTTGCTCGTATATTGGTCCATACACTAGACGCATGAACTCATGGTATAATAATTGGCCATCATGGTCTTGATCATACGTATCAAAAAGTTTTTTTAATTGTGATTTCGCAATTTGTAAGCCTTGACGATGTAGATTATTCTCAAGCTCTGACATGGTTATACTGCCACTTTTATCAATATCCCATGCACGAAAGACGTGTTGAAGTCGTCGGGACTCATACTTGGCCCGTAACAACGAGACCACACAATCCGAATCTAACGTCGCAATATTAGCTTTGTCCGGCTGATCATTATTTTTTAACTGTCTGTTGTTTGTACAGCTAGTAAAGTTGGTCTCTACCACTTCGTTTGGCTTTGGATTACCATATACAAATCGACAGAAATCATCATAGCGAAGAGACCTTCAAATTCAAAGCATAATCAGCTTCAAAAGATTTTTATCATCGAATGTCTTACATATCACTGACCTAGTCGGTAATGCGTCAACGTAATCAAGAATAGCGTCGATTTTCTTTGCGCCAAGAGCTTGAGTAATACCCAATTGAGTCAACATTTTTCGAACTTCTTCTGTACATAGACAACCGTCTCTATTGGTATCCCATGAAAGAAACGCTTGACGAACACTACGTTTTTCCCCATAACGGTCGC